CTTGAAGGAATATCCAACCCCACTGACCCTGAGCTCCTCAGATACCCCTCATTCAGCAACCTCCTACAACCATAAAGTTTATAGTAGCTAAATGCACTTGTGTCTTCTCACCTCTTCCTAGTTGGAGGTGATTGTCTTTTGAAGTGTTCGTTACCCCTGAATTCTGATACCCCATTTCTTCTACTCTTCTTGGTCTCAGGGGTTCTTTCTTTTTTTCTTTTGGGAATTGTTTCTATTTTGCCCTTCCTTTGAATGTTCTACCTGGCCTTCCGTTTTCAGTACACATCAGAAGTGAACACATTATTTTCACGCTTTAGAGGGAGGCCACATGTAGCAAGAAGAGGAGCGTTTAAAAATTCAAGATAGAAAACTGATGTATTCTATCCCAAAGGAAATATACAGCATTATGGCCCAGATTACATTCCTTACAGAACAAAGAGAATATTGCCATTGCTTTCTTAGGCCCTGTGATGTTAGCTGATGAGAAGTAGAAACATGGGAGTTCATTTCTAAACTTTTGCCTTGAATTTCAATGGAAGTAAACCTTGAGTTGTACTCAAGGTTTACTTCCATTGAAGTAACGAGTCACGAGTTACTCAACCGCTTTCAATGTCCTTTCAAAGCAATCTTATCCACTCCCACAGGTGGACCATTATTATCCACACAGGTAAAAGAAAGCCACACTTCCCAAGCAATCTCAGCACCTTGGACAGGGCCTTGCAAGTATCAGGCAGCTGACCACCCCCCCCAACCTATTTCTCCCTTAAATATGATTTATTGGAGCTCCTGCTGTGCTCCTGGTCTGCAGCATTCTAGAAGCAAATGTCTTCTGCATGAACCCAACCAGAGCACTTTGGCCCAGGCAAATGGGACCTACCAAGTGAGGGGTTATCCACTGCACACTACATTTCAGGGTCTCACAATGGTCCTAGAAAGAGTCCATGTTTAAATGGATAATCCATTAGACTCATGCCCCAAAAGCCAAACCCTGGTTAGAATTATGCCATGGGTTTGAGGGGCTTTGACCAACATCCAAGTCTCCTCATTTGCTTATGTTACCTGAGGTTCTTGCCACTGTCCTGATCTGCTCAATGAGACCTTCCAATTTATTCTCCATTCCTCAGGATGGATTTGATGTGTGGCCACTGATACCGCGTGCCACGTGCTCGACTATACGCCAGGCACGGAAAGGAGGAATTTGTGCCGTACCATAACCCCCAACTTGTCTTGCACGAACCCATCTGTTATTTTTCCTTCCGGTTGGCTGTGTTCCATCCCTGCCCCCAGAGAAGGTGGCACTATCCAGCCCCACAGAAGGAAAGGCAGGGAGAAACTGAGGATCAGCGTATCTGACACAGGGGCTAGCAGGTACTGAGCATACTGAGATATCACAGATACTGAGCAACTGAATACTCACTCCTGAAGACTTCTCCACGCCACCAGCAAGGTTGGTGCTTCTTCCACTAAAGAAGAAAGGCTCACGGTTTTTGTTGGAAAGAAAAGAATCCCACGTCAGCCATTGGATCCCAACCCTTGGAAGTAGCAGGAACTTTTTTTTTTTTAATTGAAAGGTTTGATCTGAAGCTAGAGATTTTACATCAGCGTTCACTCATTGTTCCTGAGTTGCGTCTCTCTTTGTAGGATACAGAATTTGGTCCCTGAATCCTGAGCAAGTGCTGATTTATGATGCCTTCCCAGGGCTCTATTAATAGCACGGGGCTCTAAGTAAATGCTGAGTGCATGCAAGTTCCACCTGACAGACTGGAAGTGTCGTCTGGATCGGTACAAGCCACAGAGAAGAAACCAGTGACAGCAACCACCTCCATCCCTCCACCTGCTCCCTCTGCCCCGTTCCCATTCACAGATCTCAAGTAAGCATCACTCCATTTCCGGGAGAAGAAAAACAGCTAGGATGGCACACCCCCAAGATACTCGGTGCACATTTGAACACACTGTGATTTTGCCCGTTTGTTCCTCTCCAAATCTCTACGGCTTCAGAATTACTTGGGATTGAAAATCGCACTTTGTGACGGTGCCCCTACCGCCCCCAGGATTCGAGAGTGGGGCGATCCTGCTGAAATGATATGGTGGGCTGTATGTCCGTCCATCCCCTCTCCAAACTCTCAAGCAGCTTATCTGCATCGTTGCTGGGACACTTATTCATCACTTTCCGCACTGTGTTATTTTAAGGTCTCCCGGAAGAATCTTCAATCCCTCTGTGGCTCCTGCCTTCCCTTAGGTCAAGGGACTTGTCATGATTACACTCCCCCTCCAAAAAAGAAAAGAAAATTGGGCACACAGTATTCAACAAATGTGAGTAATACGGGAATGAGCTCTATCCCTCTGCCTGATTGTTGACCATCCAGCGCTTATGAGGAGGCCCTTCTCGTTCCAGGGAGAGCGGTGGAACCAGGTGCAACAGCCTTCACGCTCTAGGGGAACGCCTGCATTCGGGTTCCTGCTCATCCCTTGCATTAATTCTGTAAGTAATACACCTGAGGCCGGCAGGTGTATCAGCCTTCAGCATCCCTCGCCTGCCTTACCTGCAGAATGGAGACAAGGAGCATACCACCTGCTGCAACGACGGCCCACCGCACAAAGGAGGGAATGCATGCGGACTCCGGGGCTGGGTGTGGGGCACTCCCTGAGCCCTCAGTCACTGAGATTCTGAAAGAAGGCTAACCACCCCGCGGGTTACATAGAGGGATTCTGGATCCAGGATGTGAGCCACCCACGCGGTGTCTCGGCAGGACCCCTTCTGTGGTCCTCACTTCAAAGCTACCTGCTCACTTCCATCAGTGACTATAACCATGCAAGACAGTGCCATCACACAGCTAGGAATAAGGCAATAAACACGAGGACGTGGCATATGGGAATGGCCCTGGAGCAGAATTAAGTAATAAAGGAGCTTCTTGTGACTATGCCTTTCTAGGTGCAGAGAATCCTGCAGTGGAGAAAGTTAGGCTCCATATAATTAGGCAGCGTCCAACAATTTTGAAAGAAAATGCTCCGAATGGCTGAGACGTGCCCTCTGCTGTTCTCCACTCCTCTCTCAGGGGCCTCTCCTGCAGGAAGCATCATTTTTAAGCAAATATCCCCATTTTACTTTATTATGTAATTATTGAGAACACTGCAGTCCCCCTTAGCCTCATAAGGAAAGGCTTTTCTTGGAAAGAAGGGATGTTCCTCGAAACGCTCAGATGTACTGGATGGGTAAAACGGAAGAAACATCCCGAGGAATTAACGTCATGGCTTAGGGGGATGATTTCATTTTCTGGCAGAAAGAAAAGCACAGAATCATCTACAAATGGGCCATCAGGTTCTCACGCAGATCTCAAGGACATAAAAACACTCTCTGTTTCGTTCTGGAGGGGACCCGGAGTAGGAAGACACTGAAAGTCAGACTTGCTGATGACTCAGGGCACGCATGTGTGGCATGATGATGAAATAAAAATTAATCAGTCCGCTTGATGATACCAGCATGAGCTCACGTGCTAGCCCACAGAAGACTTGGAGGCGTCTAAGAAACCTGTTACCTAAAACAGAACGCTCATCAAGGAGATGAAATATTCTACTGACTCACACCGCGAAGGTGTGGAAAATGTACAGGGGTTCACACGCAACGTTTAAAGAAGCAAGAAGGGAGAGAGGCAGGCTCATCCTGGTGTACGGGAGAGCCCTAGTACGTGCACCTGTTCTGTAAACTTCGCGAAGGGGCATGTTGTGTCACAGGGACTCCCTTTCTGTTCTTCTACAGAATCACAGACCCTCGGAGAAGAAAGGCACCGAGGACTTGCCTCGTCTGAATTCTTCATGCCAAGAGGACAGACCTGAAGCCTAGAAACTTAAGACATCTCTCCAATTCACAGACCCTGGAGATGGAGAGCCAGAAGCTAGCATAAGGGTCATGTCCGCTTGTTTCTTAAGATGGCGCTGCTTCCGAGATTCAGCAAAACGCCACAAACCGAAACTTGTTCTTGTCATCGGCAGAGTAGGCAAAGAGCATCCCGATTTGCAGCTTAAAACCAACTGACCAACCAAAAAAAAAAAAAGTGCTCCTTGGCAATGATCAGGTTATTTCCAAAACATCTAGATGAAAGAGTTAAAAAAAACTGTCAATTTGGTGCACAAAGAAAAGGAGTCAGAGAATGAGAGAACGGAAAAAAAAAAAAAAGAAAGGAAAAGAAAAGAAACAGCTGACAATCCTAAGCAACCTGTGGACTGGTGACATTTGGACAATGGTGTGCCCTTTTGTCCCCAGGGATTGAGCAACGTCCACAACAAGAGACGCGTCACCGGCAAAGACAGGCGCGGAGGGACGAGTTCAGAGCCCCCTGGGTGTTCCCCTGTTCTGCTTCCGCTGCACGCTACAGAACAGACCCGACATCGCTCGGCTCTGCCAGAGAAAAGCGAAGACAGCAGGGTCCTGATGATCTCATGGAGGTGGAGAGGACACCTTTTTTTTTTTTTTTTTAAATAAGAAGCCTTCCCAGCACCTCTGGAAAAACAATGGCACCGGCCCTAGAAGAGGCAAACAGTGGGTTCCGGCGCCAAACAGAAGGGCATCGCCAGGGGACCCGCGGCGGCGTGCCACGGCTGTGCACGCCCGTGGTCTTCTGCATCCCCAAACCTGCCACTTATCTAACAGCACTGCGGAAGACACAGCACTGCGCACATTCCACTGTTGACAGGGCCCGCGAGGAGAAAGCCTAACAGTGCGTCGGCTCCTTTTCTCCGTTAATCTGCGCTCATCGGCCCCCAGACCCAGTCTTCCCCTGGCGAGGAGCCCCTGCTGCCTCAACCATGCACTAGGGGCTGAAGACGCTGTTTATATTCCATTTATCTTTCTGACTTAGTGTTTTATTACCTTTTTCAAAAACCCAGAAACCCATCTGCTGTCTCTAAAGGCAGCCCAGAGGTGGACATTCACAGGACGCGAGGGAGAAGGAAGAAGACTCGGGCCCACCGTGAGCACACACGGAAGAGAAAGACACACATACCAACACTCCAGTCCATTTCCTCGACAGCGTCGCCGTACGCGCCGTGTTTGCTTTTGCCGGAGAAGTCCTTGGAAGAGAAGAGGGCTGTGTGCACGTGCAGGTATGACAGGACCAGCAGGAATGGCGTCTCAGCGTTCCTGCCAGAAGAGAGAATTTCAGAGCACTATGAGCATGTGCACCTCCGTTCCCACCACCATGAAACTAGTATGACGTGATGCCATCTGAAAAGTCAGAAAGCACCACCAGGTGATGTCTAATACTGGAGACATCACTTTTATTTGGAGAAATGGAAGTGTCCACAGCGTGTGCCTATGAGGAGAAGACTTGTGGTCCCCTTGTCCGGGTCAGCAGACTCAAGTGCTACGTTCTCGACACATTCCCTGAGGACACAACTCTGGAAGGAATGTCGTGGGAATGGCCTACTTTGTCCTCGAACTCTATTCTTCCTTCTCTATATGGTGATTAGTAGGAAGTCATGGGCCTTCAAACGCGTATTCTCTTTGGAATATGTACACACACACACACACACACACACACACACAAGCTACTGCCTAGTAAACACCCATTTCTTGACTTGACTTCTTACGGCAACACCTATCTACCCACCTAATGCCAACTCAACTGTTCCGCCATATTGCCCACCTTCTACGACCCAGCAAGTCTCCTGGAATAATTGCTCAACTGTCAACAGTGACGTTTTGGAAGTTACATGGAACATTCTTTGAACTAGCCCCGATCTATAAAGAGTCTCAAGTTATTGCAAAAGCCTTTCTTAAGTCAGAATGCATCAAAACATCCTGTGTTGTAATGGGTGAGAACACACAGCTGGGGGAGAGTTGTAACTCATTGTCAATAGGTGGGCCTTGTGACAACAGTCACGAGCCTGGTGAGTGTCGGAAGGTCTGGCGGTTTTCGCCCAGGTCTGCTGAGAGGGGTCAACAACTTACATCCCCTCCTCTTGGCATTGTGCCAATCTCTGAGAAATGCACTTAGTTGATGCACTTTGGTTTTACGTAACTGGTTCAAGTTTCACATTTGTCCAGGAAAGCGTCGGAAATGCCTTTCCGTCTAAACAGGACCATCGCCTAAGTGCCCTTTTGAAGGCTGCTGGGGCACAAATGGACTGAATAACGAATAGATGGGTGGCCCAATGCCATTTCTACTAGAGCATCTGGTGCTCTACCCAACGAATCCCTTACGTGCTTTCCTTGTCCCACCAGACCATGAGCTGGGGCATGTCACAGACATCTCGGGGCGGCAGGGCCCAGCACAGTGACTGCCAAGGAGCGTAAGCTCAGTAAACTCTGTTAGTCGATGAAACCCTGCATCAGCTCTCCCAGCTTCCGCGGGTCTACCCAGGACTCCCGAGCACTGCAGAGATGCATCAGTGCAATGTACATACACACATACAAATACATCTATATATCGGTATATATGTGTATGTGCATACACCTACACCTGTTATTAGTATGGGTGTATATATATACAAACATATATTTATATATATTAGCATAGCTGCATAAATCTGTACACATACACACCTATATATTGTTAGAATAGGGACATATATACATGTACAAATATACACCTATTGGTATAGGCACACATGTACATAATATATAAGCTCTTAAGTCAGAAATCTCTGATCATTTCGAAGGGACTGTCCCCTCTGTTCATCATCTTTGCCAGATAGCAAGAGCTCTCAAGAAATAATCTACTTTATGAAATCAATGATGCTTTTACGTATTTATTTAGTTCCTCAAGTCGTTATCGTGAGATAATGAAAACATTTCAAAGTTTGAACTGGGTATCGCAACGCTAACAAGCTAAGCTCTGATAAATGAATGCACGCTTTGCTAAATGCATTTTTAATGCATTCGTGTGCATATAGCTTGGGTTCGTCCAGGCCATATAGCACCTTACAGGGTCACAGTCCTCAGACCTGCCACTTATCACACTTTACATGGAAGGCTGTTCCTTGCACTGATGTTCCCCTTGCCTTCTGAAACAGAACATAAGCCTAAAACATCGACTTTGAATGAGCCAGGTCCCGGCTGAGTCAAGATCAAATTGAGCCAGTTACTGTGAATCATCTGTATGGCGCTTTAGAGTTGTAGGGCTTGTGCTGAATTCTGTCGCTTTCCCTTTTTACAGGAATATACAAGGAAGCGACACTGTTATTGTTTCACAACTAACTAGAAAAGACCAAAAACAAACAAACAAACAAAAAATACTCCACCAAAACCCAACCAGCAAACAAGCAAAAACCTTGCATGGAGTCTATGCCACATCTCCACATAAAGTAGAATTTGCATGAGAATCCAAACCCGAGACAGCTAGTCAACCATGACCTGTGCCCATTAATTTTCGGAAAGGAAAGAAGATGTGTTCACGTTCAGATGGACCCAATGGGGTTGTCATCCGAGCTGATGGTCTGCATCCGACGCATCGCTCTGGGCGCTCCTAAGAGCAGATGCCCTCCAAGACCCTGGGAGATGTGACGCTAAGCCGTGATAGGGCACGGACCTCTGCCCTACAGGAGGCCAGCCGGTGTGGCCCCCAACCAAGTCATGCTGGGGGAGGTTTACTCACACCTGGACACAAGGCAGCCGCTTCTCAAGAAGCAAGACGACGACTCTAAAAACCGGCTTAGATTCCCCCAAATCAACATGCAGTGACACTGTTCCCAAATAGACACTTACATGACCTACGGTTACAATGTCAACCTCCTCTGCTCTCCCGCTTATTTCTAGATTTAAGGGAAATAGATCGGGTGGCTTAAAAATTCAACCTTCTGAGCATGTATGTGATCAGAGCTGGTGATACGGCATGTGACTTGAGAGAATGTGCTGAGAACGAAGAGGCGTCCTGTGCCCAAGAGCTTCCGAAAAAATAATAAACAGAAGATGAAGAAGAAAGAGCCCGCCATCGGCCTCCCTGGCAGGATCCCAAGTTGGAGGCATTTTGAAATGTGAGCCCAGAACGAACAAAGAGATGACCAAGTCCACCCACCAAGCAAACGAGGGAGCCTGACATAAACACCGTTCATGAACCATGGTATTTGAGAGCCGTCAGGCCAGTAGGGGAGCTCAAGCCAAGCCGCGGAGTGGGACTCCTGTCCTGCAACGTACGCAGACCCTCCGCGGAAGGGGAGAAGGCCGTTCCTGCGTTCATCCTGACACTGTGCGTATTTATAGAATGCTCATTTCCATCATCTCTCTACAGAGCCGTTTTTCATTGAGCCGGCTAGACACTGTGGGTACCAGCCAAGGTCCTGGGAGTCCAAGCACAGCGACGAGGTTTTAGATGCACCAACAATCCTGGAAAATGCAGAGACGCGTATCAGCTTGCGGAGGACTGCATGGCAAAGACTGACCGTCCAGAAACACAGGTCTGGTGGATGGTGCACGGGAACGTGGGCTACACACCCATAAATCCTTGGCAGCCTTGCACACACCCTGGGCTGTGACTGACAGACACAGCCTGCTCCCTGGTGAGGGAATTCTCGCTGAGCAATATCCTTCCCGATGCAGAGAGCAGGGCAGGCTCATGGAGAAGGTCTGGGTCTCCCTCTACGACCTTGAAAACTCCATGACACTTCATCGAGTCGGTGGGCGGGAGATTTCCCATGAACAGCTCAAGTCCTACGTTATTCACCAGAGCTATTCAGTAAACAACGCTTTCGGAAATTTATTGCCACTGTGTTGCAAGCTGTGGGAAAAGACTGAACTTTCTGCTGCTCCGTGCCTTTGCGCTATTTGTGAAAAATGCCGAAGGAAGCTGCTTCCCAGCAACCTGTAATCATTTCAGAGGATCACAAGACTGATGTCCTATGAACGCAGACTGAACACATACGCAAGGGGATGGTGAAGCCATTATTATTTTTTTTTTTCCTATCTGCCACGAAGCTCTCGAACAGAACATCCCTCATCCGAGGGCTTGACTGTTATTATGCCACCAAGGTCCCAACTTGACCGGCGTCGGCTACCACTGTGAACACCACACCGATGTGCACACAACCCGGCTATTTCTTTGTTCTGTCCACGCACTGCGCATCCACTGAGAGTACATCCGGCTGACACGGTCCTAGCGACTCAAACCTAAAGGTAAGCTCTGCCGGGTCCTGCCACCAGACTGCATCTGAAGCTGGCAGGGTCAGAACTTGTTCCTGGAGAGAGGCAGATTCCAGGGGTTCGTGCAGCAGGTCAGCGCCCCCGAATGCTCTCTGCAAACACATTGGTGTCCAACCTATCCCTGTGCATACTCACACAGTTGACAATGGCAGACACCTGTCCTGGCTATGCACCTGCTGAGCTAGAAGCTCAAGTTCTATTACACAGAGCCCCCCAAATTATTCATTCAATAAATCAGAATATTTTTTAAACATTTTATTTATTAGAGAGCGAGCGAGCACAAGCAGGGGGAGCGGCAGGCAGAGGGAGAGGGAGAAGACTCCTGGCTGAGCAGGGAGCCCGATGCGGGACTCGATGCCAGGACCCTGCGATCACAACCTGAGCTGAAGGCAGACGTTTAACTGACTGAGCCACCCAGGCGTCCCCAATCCGGATTTTTTAAAAAATATTTTATGTCATCTTTAAACCTAATGTAGGGCTCGAAAGCACAACCCCAAGATCAACAGTCGCATGCTCTACCGACTGAACCAGCCAGGTGCCCCTAAATCAAAATAATCTTTAAACTAAAATCCCACCGGGGCACCTCGGTGGCTCAGTCAGTTGAGCATCTGACTGTTGGTTTCAGCTCAGGTCGCGATCTCGGGGTTGTTAGATCAAGCCCCAGTATGGGCTCTGTGCTCAGCACAAAGTCTGCTTGAGATTATCTCCCTCTGTCCCTTTCCCCCAGTCACTCTCTCTCTCTAAAATAAATACATAAATCTTTTAAAACTAAACTAAAATGAAAGCCCACAGATGTGCAAAGAAGCCCAGAAAGATACCACTATCACGGCCTTTGCTACATCTTGGGTTGGGGAATGCAAGTCGTTAGTGTGAAGGAGTGAAGACCAGCAACGATTTCAACTTCTTACTTTAGACACTTTTATTCTTCTTTAATTTTTTAGAGTCTCACACGTTACTCTTGGAGCCACAGAAAAATGGAGAGACATCTTAAAAATAAAAACAAA